TCAATGGTCATTTCCCTCGAGATTAATCTATCACAAGTAGACAGTCTATTTAAAATAACAAGCCAGGAGATGAGAGTGTGTTTTGGTATGTGAAAAGAAAAGTAGAAAACCATACCAGTATGTGCCAGGTTACCTTGTCCCCTTTTAATCTTAACTCATTCCACACCTTCTTAGCTGAGATCTTTACATTTTCAATAGGAAATTTAGTGACTAAAGCAGCAACCTCTGATTTGAGTTTTAAGAGCTTCTTCAAAATCCAACTCATTGCTCCTGAAAGTGCAACCTGCCAGAAGGTCCTTTGGTTCAGTACATAACCCAAGCTATCCAAAGGGAACCCTCCCAAGCAAGCAAATCCCTCACATGTTGCAATAAACATGCCTTATTCCACTCTTCCTACTTTTTCATACCTGGACCTCCCTTTGATTTAGACAAACAAAGGGAATTCCAACTCACTCTAGTACCTGTCACAGCATGATCCTTACTTTTCCAAAGATATCATTCACAGATTTGATTAATCCTCTTGACCACAGCCTTAGGCAACAAAAATTGACGACCCCAGTAATTTGGAATATTAAAAATCACTGATGGAATTAATTGCATACGACCAGCATAGCTTAAATTCCTTGCTGATCAACAACTAATTCTCTCAATGATCTTCTTCACCAAAGTCTCACAATCCTTAATCTTTTACCCACCAGAGGGACCCCCAAGTATCTAACAGGGAGCTGACCTCTTTTAAAATCACTGGTTTGCTGAATAAGATCCATATCAGTTTCAGAAATACCCCCACTGAATACTTCACTCTTAATAGCGTTTAACTTCAACCCCAAGAGATGATAGAAAGCTTGTAAAATATGCTAAATGCCAACCACTGAATCCACATTACCCTTTGAAAAAATCAGTAGGCCGTCAGCAAATGGAAAAGAAGTGAGCATGATCTTTTTGCCTTTAGGGTGGTATGTAAAATTTCCAGTATTAGCTGCAATATCCAAAAGACTTGACAAAACACTCATCGCAATTACAAATAAGTAGGGGAGACAATGGAATACCTTGGAGTAGTAGTGCAGGCTCTAATCCATGTAATCATTTGCTTAGGAAATCCCAATGCTACAAAAAAAAAAGTAAGCACAAGTCCAGCTTAGGGAATCAAAGGCTTTATGAAGATCTATCTTAATAGCACATTGAGGAGAGATTCTCTTCCTATTGTAGCCTTTCACCAGCTCATGACCAAGAAGAGTGTTGTCATGAATACTACTACCTTGAATGAACGCACTTTGGTTTGGGAGGATGATTGTAGAAAGCCACTTAGCAATCCTCCTCACCATTACTTTAGTGATACATTTGTAGACAATGGAACAACTTGAAATGTGACGAAAGCATTTAACCTGGCTAGGATTATGACATTTAGGCACTAACACTATTGTAGTGGAATTAAATACTGGAAGGGTCTCTGAGGACTGGAAGAAAAAATTGCACAGCATCCACAAAATCATCCCCAACTATTTTCCAGGCGCCCTTAAAAAAATAAGCAATGAAACCATCTGTCTCGGGAGCCTTTCATTCTCCTGCTCAAACAAAGAATCCTGAATCTCCTCCCTAGAGACTATTCTAGCCATATCCTCTTGTGCCTCAAGTGACAAAGTACATTACAGCAGCTCTTTAAGAAAGTTTTCTGAACAGCCAGTGACATTCCTATCTGCTGTGCCAATTAGTCTCATTAAGATCTAACACTTAACAGTTAACTGAGTGATTCCCTTACTGATGTTGTTATAATTGTTGCTGCATGCTTTCGGATGGTCTTATTTTTTATCAAGTGCTTACATAGACTACTATTTATTTAGTTCAGGAACTCCAAATTCCTACAATTGCAGTTATTGAAGGTGCAGCGTTGGGTGGAGGACTTGAAATGGCTCTCTCATGCGATCTTAGGATTTGCGGTAGACTTATATTTAAAACATTTCATAAGTACCTTTATTTGCTTCTAAAGTGTCTGGTTTCATGGTCTTCTTTTTTACTTAAAATTGTTTTAAATGGATTGTCTTCGAATATATTTAGGAGAAAATGCATTATTGGGCTTGCCAGAAACAGGACTTGCTATAATACCCGGGTATGTGCTAAATCTTGTTTCAGTATTTTGCACTATATCTATTTTGATCAATTCTTTTGAGTAAAATCTGAAGCTGGAAGCACATTGAGCCTATAATTAACAGTGCAGGTGGGACTCAAAGGCTTCCTAGATTGGTCGGAAAATCAATTGCAAAGGAGCTTATTTTTACAGGTCGAAGAATTGGTGGCAGGGATGCAATGTCCATTGGTACATACACCTACAAGCTGCTTTTTTCCCCTACTATGTTTTGTACCTATCCCACTCCGGTACTGAACAATGTCTGATATTGCAGGTCTTGCCAATTACTGTGTTCCTGCCGGTGAAGCCCATCCGAAAGCTTTAGAAATTGCTCGGGAAATAAACCAGAAGGTAATAATTATGCATCTTCAAAACTTTCTTGGCAGTTCATGTGTTATTTTCTTTTTCTAAGTTCATCCATTTAACTTCCATGACTGTTTATTCTGAAATGCAAAGGTTTCAGGTCTGATGCTGACCCTTCATTTTATTGGTAAAAATAACTTTATTACTCTACAAATTATTGAATATTCTTGTGAACATATTCTTAACAGGGTCCAATAGCAATAAGAATGGCAAAAAGGGCTATAAACGAGGGGATTGAGAGGGATATGGTTTCAGCTTTGGATTTAGAAGAAGAATGCTACGAACAGCTTTTGGATACGAAGGATCGCTTGGAAGGCTTAGCCGCATTTGCTGAGAAGCGTAACCCTAGCTACACTGGTGAATAAGAAAGGCCTGACTCTTGCTAGAAAATAGCTTCTTGATAAACTTATTTACTGATAAAAGTTTTCTCTTTGTTTTATTTGGATCTTTGAGAAGTCCTTATGTTGGATGAACTATCTTTAGCAATTAAAATGAAGAAATAATAAATTACATCAACCTTGTTTTCCAATGTCACATCTATGGTGGTTTGAATTTTATAAGGAACATTGTTCTTTATGGTAGTTGTTTCAAAGATCTAAATCCCCACGTTCCAAAACCCAATATGTATTCATTTAAAACTAGATTCGTGTGGTCATTCTTTATAGTCTATATCTAACAGGCTTGGAATTAGTTAAGAGCTGATATCTAGCAGGCTTGGAATTAGTTAAGAGCCGATATCTAGCAGTCTTGGAATTAGCTAAGAGCCCATATCTAGCCTGCTTAGAACTAGTTAAGAGCCAATATCTAGCCAGCTTAGAATTAGTTAAGAGCCGATATCTAGCAGGTTTAGAATTCCAGTTCTACTGATATGTCCCATTATGCCAAGTATGGTATTTTTACCTTTCATCATAAATGTGATATACAAAATTGTCATGTTTATAGTCCACTACCAACTACGGCTTTACGAATTAAAAGGTAAGGATTTTTAAATGGTAACTTTGTCCTTCATTATCTGGTTGAGAAATTTGATAAGTATATACATTAATGAACTGATTCAGAGGAAAAAAGGGTAATTCTTTAATTAGCTTGTCAATACTGAGAAAAAAGGCCTAGGACAGCTCAGTGACAACCCTGCAATAGCTCTTCTTTGTTACCAATTACAATGCCTGAGTCCTGAAATAGAGTATGGTCTCAACAATACTTGTACTTTCCATTCTTGTTAATATCTGCAAGTTCATGATAGGTAAGTCAGTTATAGTTACCATTACTGGGTCTCCTTTGATGAATTTTCCAGTCTATGGTTACCATAACTGTCCCATCGTGCGTTGTAATGATTTCTCCTTATAAACGGAAAAATCCCCATTATTTTTTCACCGCCATCGACGCATATCTCTCAAACAAGAAGCTATGGTAGGACGTTCAATCTCGAACAACAAAATGATCCCATATCCGAATATTAGAGGCAGCAGCACAAGCACTGGCATTAGGAAGTCACCCTCGAGATTCAGAGGGGTACTTCCACTTGCAAATCATAAATGGGGCTCAAGGATTTTCTATGATTACAAGGCATACTGGCTCGGAACATATGAAATAGAGGAGGAATCTGCCCTTGCTTATGATCGAGCAGCCCTCAAGTTGCAGAAAGCCAACACTAGCCTCAACTTACCCCACAAAATCAACACACCTCAGGAGAAATCATTCCAGAGCTGGTACTCGGATGACGAGATTCTGAATATGATCAAGTACAAAACGTACTCACCAAGTTTCACCTGTTTTCTTGCACATCAATCTCTGGCAAGGAGAACCATACCAGGCAACTTACTCAACGCGAGGGGGCTCTCATATGAACTGTTATTTCACCAGGAGCTGACACAACCAGATGTGACCAACACCAAAGGGTTCCAAATCCCAAAGGAATACGCCCTGCGATACCTGCCCCCACTTGGAAACAGTTCAGGGAATGGAGCTCAAATGGGAAGTGGCTCCATTGACATAACTTTCTATGACAAATACTATGCTCCCTGGACTTTCCGATACTCTTATTCGGGCCGTATCCAGGCCTTTTGTTTCACAACAGGATGGAGACAGTTTGTTACTATTAATAACTTGAATTCTGGAGCACTGTCGTCTTCTATGGATGTTATCATGTGGATCAAGCAGGACAAAGGGGGATGTTTTATATGATAGATATACTTCGAAATACCTCAGGAAACTACATTGTTGGCATTTGTGGAGAGCAACGATTTGGTTCGGATGCTGATGGTACTGAAGGAGTGAATGGAAATAATGGGGTCAAGCTTTTTGGAGTCATAATAGGTTAAAAACCCATAAAAGAATCTACTTTTTTCCTCGTTTCTTTTTCTAAGTTCTCTCGACTCTGAATAACGGCGGGCCCAACAAGAACCCATGAAACAAAGTTTATGTTTTTGTTGTCTGTTTAACCAGATTTAATAGTGAAAACGCAGAATTTAAATTTCCAATCGACTCATTGTTCAATTTTCCTTCAATCTCCAATCTGAAACCCTGTATATCAAAAGTATAAAAATCCCATTTTTATCAAGAGAGAAGGAAAACAAAGCAATATGGCGACTCCAGCTGGAAGTTCTAGGAAGAGGTGGCTTCCTCTAGAAGCTAACCCTGATGTCATGAACCAGGTGCTTTTCATTTTTCCTTTTTCTCACCCCCAAATTTCTCTGTGTTTAGTTGCATGGAAAATATCAGAATAAAACAGTGACAAATATCAGAATAAAATATTTTTTTCAATTCCTTGAAATTGGTAATATGGGTATTTTGCAGTTTCTTTGGGGGCTGGGTCTTCCAGTGGATGAAGCAGAGTGTTGCGATGTTTACGGCTTGGATGATGAACTCTTAGCAATGGTTCCCCAGCCTGTTCTTGCTGTGCTTTTTCTTTTCCCAATAACTTCTCAGGTGTGTTCATTTTTAAACTTCAGTTCTTTCCGGCATTAGCAGTCGCCTATTGGGTCATTTTGATTAACTTCATTGATACGCCTAAATCAAAATAAGTTTGTCGTTTCTACGCCTTTGAATGTTTTCAGACTGAAGAAGAGAGATTGCAGCAAGACAAGGAGAAAAGAGTAAGTGCAATTATGTATTCTAGCTCTTTGTGTTTTATTGTCGGATTTATCGGAAATGTTTAAACCGTAACACTGCTGTAACTGAAATTGTGCAAATTTGTGTAGTTATGCCTTGTGTTTGTAGATGATTATGTTCCGGCCCGTTCTATTGATATTCATCTTGCCAACCACATATTTGTGTATTTGTGTGGATAGTATTCTGATTTTTGAATTTATTTAATTGATGGGAGTGAACACTCTATTTTATGATGAAGTTCATTAAATAACCAAGAACAAGGAATGGAGTTGAAAAGGGGAAAGGAAAAGCACCATTAAGAGAGCACTTAAATTAGAGGAGAATTTTCAGTTCTCCCTTGAAATCTTTCCCGAAACTAAGTGATTAAATGCAGTAGTTTCTGATGGTAACTATAAATGGGAATTCTTTGTATGATCCAATTGGAAGTTCTTTTTTTGTTTTGAATGCAGGATGTTAGCAGTAAAGTTTATTTCATGAAACAAACTGTGGGAAATGCATGTGGAACAATTGGGATTCTTCACGGTGTTGGAAATATCACTTCTGAAATCAAGCTTCGTATGTTTGTTCTAAATATTTCATCATTTATCGACCAATAATGCTTATTTTGACATTCATCTCGAACGTATCATATGTTACAATGTATGTTAACGTTTACGCATGTCTGTCAATTTAATCATCACATTTCATCTTGCTTGTTGTCAGACATATGATTTATCCATGAGTTGTCTTTTCTTACGTCTCCCTTTTCCTGATTTTAATGAGGAACTGCGTATCATGGCATTGTTCTCGAACCAACCGACAGCCATGCAGTACTAAGAGCAGGCATCCTTTTAGCATTGAACTGAAAGGGTATTAGGTAGCTATTAGCCTATTTTCTGAAAAACATCCAGTAACAAATTTTTTCGTCTTTTTTTCAGAAGAGGGATCATATTTAGATAGATTTTTTAAATCTACTGCAAGCATGGATCCATTGGAGGTTTAACTTCTTACCTTTCTGTCTCTCTCTGTGTCTGCATGCACATGTGTGCGAGCATTTTTGCCTTTTGTGATCTGTCATTGCTGACATCAAATTGTTGTATACTTTAAAGCGTGCAGTGTTTCTTGAGAAAGATGATGAAATGGAAGTTGCTCACGCTGTAGCAGCTACAGCTGGAGAAACAGAGGTAAATCCATTTTTAAGTAATTCTTTTCTTCATGATTCCGTTAACTTGAAACCGGAAAATCGTGAAGTTAGGGTAGGATACAAATATGTATAGCACTTCAAGTTTTTATTCTGCAATATTTTAGAACAAAGCTGAGCTACTTTATTGATGAATCTTTGCAATACTTACTACTGAAGGCTAATAAATTTTTATTTGGTCGAATACCATTTCTCTTGTTTTGTCTTAACAATTTTCATTGTCAGGCGTCAGACAACGTCAACACACATTTTATCTGCTTCACATGTGTTAATGGTACCTGCTCTTGTTCTCTGTCGTCTTTCAGAATATAACGAAATAAAAAATGAAAGGAAAACACAATCTCTATCTCATTGGTCATTGGTCATTAGAGATGCTTTTGGTCTTATTAATGTAGGGGAACTTTATGAGCTTGATGGAAGAAAGTCGGGACCAATTTCGCATGGGGCTTCCTCACCGAGTAGCATTTTGCAGGTTTGTTCTGGCCAGTTAAAACTTTATTTTGTGTGTTTTCCCTTTTAACTATGCATTCGGCTGTCAGAAAAACGTTTTATGAGAAATGTTTTAGCTTTTAAGAGATGGAATTTTTTTTAACAGTTCATTTTAGTATTTGACTATCACGCCTTGATCAAGGTGAAAGTGGAAGAAGTGAGCTGCCTTAATTTTCCATAATTTTCAGCATTAAGCAGATCGTTTTGCATTAGACGAGTGTTACTGTATTCGTCTGGTTTCAGCATTCTTATACAAGTTTTCCTTAATTTTCGGCGATAAATATTCTCATTATGTGCTAATATACGACGATAATGATTAATTGCGATTATTTCGTCGTACAACAACAGGATGCAGCAAAAGTCATAAAGGGCATGATCCATAAAAATCCGGAGTCACTCAACTTCAACGTCATTGCCCTTCATAAGAAAGCCGGAGTGGCAGGTACATCTTAATATGGCCAATCGTTGTTATCAATTTCCTACAAACAACTACAGATTAGAATCCAAATGTTCAGTTACTGCAACATACTCGAGCATATCATATGATCTTTCCCAATGCATGCTTTTCATCTTTTTATGTAGGAAAACCAATGGTCGGTACCGACCGAATCGGCTTTAAGCATTGTTAATCATTACTTATTTCATAAAGTCTTTACTATAGTTCATCAAATTTCATGTTAAAACCTCTTGTTCCACCCTATAACGTATGTTTTTTTTTACATTAGAAGTATAGTTATATTTCATACTATACATGTATGAATAACTATATGTACGGAATTTTGTGTATTAATACCTTATAATATATATATATATATAGGGTTTTTAAATTAGGAATTTGTGTTAGGGTTCTAGATAAGATTATAAAATTTTGAGTCACTGAAAGTGATTAAATTGATTAATAATGTTTTGGAGGGGGTCTGGAATATAAATTTTCCTTAATAAAAAAGTTAAAATGGTTTAAACTGAACTTCTATTTTTTGTATGAATTAGTACCACAATTGTTTCATTTAACCATGGGTGGCTAAAGCTCCGACTCATCTATATTAAATTAAGATTGATAATAATAAAATGTTGATATTAATGATATAATCCAAACATATGATACATTGATAAAAAAATATTATGTCATATTAGATTTTGAATTTAATATTAAATAATTTCTCATGATAAAAGCATATTAATGTGATAGTTAAAAGATATTGAATTCTTTATAGACCGAAATTTTATCTTTAAATCACATTATTAACCTTTTTTTGAAGTAATGTGGACAATATTTTTAATTTTAAGAATAAAAGAAAAGAAATATCCCAATTAAACAAAATTCCTATGATGAGGGCTTGTCCTCGGGCTTTACTACTGCTCACATTAAACTATTAACACATCAGCTTCAACTGACCAATAACTGTTCGCCACATGTACAATATCCGACTCAATACTTGACTTATGCTCCATAACCCATATCTGGCCCGGCTTGAGCTACGACCGGAGTAGAGGTAGCTACTTTTCTCCTCCTTTTCGGCGACCCGTTGTCCAAACCCGAGGACGAAGAACTAGCCGGCTCCGGTGATGCCCTCTTTGAAGTTATTCTTACTGGGTCGGGTTCCCCGGAATTGACCCTCAATGGGAAATTCAACAAAGCCCTTGAGCCACGCATCCTGTAAGCCGCTCTGTCATAAGCCAAAGCCGCATCCTCGGCCGTCTCAAATGTACCTAACCAAACCCGAGCCCCATTTTTAGCCGGGTCCCTAATCTCAGCCGCGAACTTCCCCCACGGCCGTTGCCTTACTCCCCTGTAATGCTTCCCTTTGGGAGGGACCGCAGCGGGAGAAGCCGTATTCACCGCCTTTGTCGCAGCCTGTTTCACCGCTGTCTCCATTGAAATATCTTGAGTTTCGGGTTTAACCGTCGGGGAAGAATTCTCGGACGGCGCCCAGCCGGCGGTTAAAGCATCTCGAAGGAAACCGAAGACAAGCATGTCTTCGGAATCATTCTCTTTGAGTGGGAGGTCACCCCAGGTATCGGTCAAGCAAGGGTACAATCGGCTAAAACTGGAGCTCCTGCAAAACATGGGGGGAGACGTGTTGGCACAGTCATTTGGAGCAGCGAGTCGAAAATCTTGTGACTCGCCGAGCAAGTGTCGCCGAATTGAGTCCAGCATCATCAAATCGGAGTCGATCGTACTTGGGTACATTTCCATTGCAGAAAATTCAAATTTCAGATAAACAATTTCGTAAATTTCAGCTCTCGGGATACTTTTGTTTTAAAAGAAAGGATAAAGAAGATGAATTAAGCTCTCTGAATCTTTACTCAAGGAAGGAGAAGTGGGTATATATATACACACACACATTGGAAAATTAGATGCATGAACTTGAGTGGCGGATTTTTCAAATTCCTTTTAAATTTCTTTATTAGGTAGGTAGTGGCAATTGGGGGTTTAGCTTCTTGGAAAGTTCATTTGATACACGTGACTAATATTTCAGATTGGTTGGGTGCTCACGTCATCCTATGACACTAGCAAATTGTTGTCTCACTTGTTTGGAGAAAATCAACTAAATATTATTTTTAAGATATATTTTTTTATTTTTAACATAAAAGTGATTTATCTTAGTTATATTTTACCACTTATTTCACTATTTATTTGTGCCACAAATCTATTTAATAATAATTTTCAAACAAATATTTCTTTAGAAATGACGTAGAAAATGTAAATAAAATTCAGTGATTAAAAAATTTGCAAAGAAAACGATGTAATGATTTATATGAATTGAGATCATGAATTACGTAATGAGAAAGAGTTCATGGTATAGTATTTACACTTGTAAAATTTAAACACAAAACACCAATGTCACGACCTATCTTTTACTTTCCTTGTCTTTTAATTTTCTTCAAGATAATATATCGTTTTCCCCTTTTCTTTTAATTTTCCAAAGTATCATCTGTCTTTTTCTTGATGCAATTAAATTCTTACCTTTGTTTTTCCTTGGTTGCTCTTAGCTTGACTTATAAAATCAATTACATTGCACTATGGGCCGTAATGAAACATACATTCTTCCCAAATTATTTTTTTATGTTTACGTATATATATTAGGGATTGGCACGAGACTCAAATTCGTCGAGTTCTGATCTGATTTTATTGAGTCGATCTTTTTTTTAAAAAAAATAGTTTGGGGTTGGATCTTTTAGAAGATAAGTTCGGGTTGATTTAAAGTGAAAAATATCTAAACCATACCCGACCCAAAAAAATGTAAATATACTTTATATATTAGAGATAATTACAATAATATTCTCTATATATTAATTTTTTCAATTATATTCTTATTTTATTGAATAAAGTTAATATTTTTATAAATATATTTATTTTGGTTGGATTCGAGTTCGGATGAAGTCACCCTAGACTCTGGTCGGGTCAAATTTCAGGTGAAAGGTATATATTTTTTGAATTAGATCGGGTTGGCTGAAAACTCGAACCAACTTGAAAATGTCCATTCCTAAGACATATCCCCACGTTTCACTGTAGAAACAAGAAAATATTATGAAATTTAAGATCTCGGATTCGAGTACGACATATATAGGGATATAAACATTTATTATAAAATGATTGAAAATGATGCTATCTTGTACTAACATCACAGAACACGTGTAGTACATAAATATAGCATAAAATACGAATGTACTAACATTTATATAAAAATAATTATTAATATATCAAAATTAAAATTATTATAAAATAATAAGATTGAACCAACATAAATTCTTGATTCTAAAATGTCAATAGATTCGACAATTTTAACTACAAAATGATTATATGACATAAAGAAAATTAAAAAAATGACAAAATTGTATAAACATATATTTTTAAAAGTTTGAGGCAATTACAATATTGTATATGTTTAAATATATTTTTAGTCTATTTATAACGCAAAACTATACCTTGCAGACGTAGTTTGAATCCGAAACTTTTAAATAAAACAATATTTTTCTGTTCATCAATTATACCACTCAATAGGTTCAAAATATAAATATATTTTTATTATATAAAAATATATACTTTAACATCTTAATTTTTAAGTTAGAAAAATATTAAAAGTTTAAAGGCTTAATATCTACTTTAATCATTGTATTATAGAGGAATTTTTACATTCATCTTTTTACTGTTCTTTTAGTTAATTTGACCTTTAGGGGTTGTTTGGTTCAAGATATATTTTATTATCGAGGGAATGTAATACTCATTCTCTCGTTTGGTTGGCCAACATTCCCAGCCCCCGGTAATCTTTTATTATCAACAGTGGATTTTTTGGGATATATTACTGGGAATGTGATTACCTCCTTCCCTTAGGTATTGTTATTACCGCCGTTTTGGATTAAAATGCCCTTAATTTTTTTTCAAAATTATTCTTCTTATGTCATTGAATAATAAAAATTCTACGAAGGTTAAATTACAAATTTATCCTTAAACTATTTTAGATTTACAAAAAAAATCCATAATTAGAATTTTATATGAAGTTAAAGGGTTAAAATAAAATTTTAAATTTTTTTTAAAGAAAATATATAAATTAATTATAGTAGAATTCAACTTGTTAAAAAAACAAATATATAATAAGGACAATTTAGTAAAATATACATTCCAATAATCTTTTATTCCTTTAATCAAACACTGTAATCTTAAATTCCTGCTAAACCAACCAAACACAAAATATAACATTCCCAGTAATCCTATTCATATGTAATCTTTTATTCACACTAGTAATCTTACGTTCCGTGAACCAAACGCACCCTTATAATTTTATTTCGAGCACCACTTTAGTCTTTCGCTGTTACTGTTAAAAATCTTACACGACACAACAAGAGACTGCCACATGTTAAAACAGTTTAAAAATTAGAAAAGATATAAAAAAAATTAAAGTTATAAAAAAAATGATACAAGCCTTTAAAATATATATCAAAATTTTATTTTCTAAATTTTATTTTTTGAGAAAACATAAACATGCTTAATTAATTTATAAAAAATAAAGATTCTAAAAATTTAAAACTCTAAAAAGTATTTGACCATTTTATGAATATTTTGTTTTTGAAAAGGAAATCAAACATAAATATACTTTTGAAAATATACAATTTCCAGAAATGTTTTTTAAAGAATTTCTTGATTTTTTTAAAGAAAAATACAATCATATGATAAATGATTAAAATGATAGACATAATAAAAACATATATATTGAACTGATCGAGAGAGAGAAAAATTAGAAAAACGAAAAAAAATAACTATAATATACGAAGCAAAGTGGAAAATAAATTAAATATATATATATATATATTTATTATTAATTTGGATTGATTACAGTTTAATATATATTTAAATTCTTTTTAATAATTAATAACTTACCTACCCTATAAATACAACGGTTCCCATTCAAAAGATCTAAAAAAGTTAAAGAAACACCAATATTATATTAAAAACAAGAAGAGGAGGAAACGTATTCAAATAATACAACACGTGAAATGAAAATAAAATAAAACAGTTTATTGGATGAGACGAAAATGACAGAAAATGAGGCTGTTTTTTCCCTTGTCCAAAACGAATACATTGGTCCTAGACACGATAATAGCATAAATTAAACGATGAAAATGGCCTTTGGATAAGTCTGTTTTTCCTCCAGGTTCCTTCTTGGAAGGAAGGGAGCAAGTTGAGTGTTTTATTTAATAACCATATGATTATAATAACATTAACACCAAATAAATAATATAAACATATTCCTTTTATATAAATAAATAAAATATCTTTATTCAGGATATATGTTTGTGTGCCTTTTGAAAAATCTACCTGGGTTGCACTTTGAGATTTGGAATTTTATTCTACTTTTCAATCAAGTTGCTTTTAATTAGATATTGGCTGCTTAATTTTTTTAGGCATAATTCTAAAATTAGCCTCCGGTGTTTATAAAAATGATGATTTTGATTCTTAATTTTTTTTCTAGCATTTTGGTCCCCTAATGTTTCATTCTAGGGTAAAAAGACTCCTATATTGATGGAAACCGTTAGTTAACACACTATTAATGCTCCAAAATGTAGGGTTTTTTTTTATCAAAATTAAACGTTGAGAGTCAAAATACTCCATAATAAAAAAAATGAGAATTAAAGTGATTATTCTGTCAGATATTTGGAGCATTTTGTCCTAAAATGTAATGTTATGGGCCAAAATATTACACAAAAAAAGAGTAAGGGTCATTTAATGATCATTTTGATAAACATTTGGGGCTAAGTTTGATATTATGTCTTATTTTTAATATATGCAACTTTTTTTCGAACAGATTGATCTGAGGTGATTATAACGTATTTTATGTTCATAATCTTTCTTAACCATTAACAACACACATATGTCTTACAAACACAATTGTTCAAACCCAAAACCTCAAAAAATAACAATATCTCATTTAATCATTGAGGTCACTCAATAAATTCAATATATGAGACCTTAGTTAAATAATAAATAGGGTAAAATAGATTGATTTGCGGGTAATATAGAAGGAATTCTCATATTATTTGAAGTGCTCAAATTTTGTAGCATTGAGTAACTAAAAATAAGGTTTATACATGTGTATCGCTTGTTCAATTAATTTTTTATTAATTTGATATAAGCATAAGATAATATTTGTTTAAAAATAATTCTCAATTGATTGATATTAAAAGCTCAAATCCCTTGCATACATAGTGCTCGAGCTCGGGATATCAAAAAAACAACAAAAATTTATTTATCAGTGAGGTCGCTTGATTCGTTTCTTGTTCAAACATTTGTGTAATTGCATTGATATTTAACATATATCTCCGACATATAATTTTTAAGAATTGTTTGATATTAAACACTCATATCCCTAATAATTATGGTGTTTAAATCTAGTACCTTAAAGAATAACAACAATTCACTTATCATCGAGATCGCTTCAAATTTGTATTTATGTTGACATATATCTCCAACATATAATTTTTAAGAATTGTTGGTGTTATTTTTTATGAAAATATTTTAAATAATACATATGTGGTTTATTTATATTTCATGTGATCTTTGGTCGCTTTAAGCAACAGCCAGCCACGTCATTAAACAAAGAATGAGAGGCTTTGAAATTGACGAAAGATTTGTCATTTATATGGCATTGACTTGAATGATAAATTCCGCAAAGATTAAATTAAAGTCATAAGCTTTGCAGCAGAAGCATCGTACCTGGTCACAACCAGCCAACCATCGCCCGTGCGGCCTACCGCATAGTTTGAGTCTCCCAATATTTTAATAATTTAAAGTTAATATAAAATAATT